CACGCACAGGTGTTCATTCCCTGGTGTGACTAGAACACATTTGTTTAGCTGGCTCCCCTCGTCATTTGGGTTTTTTCTTCCTTCTAGTTGGGAGATTCCTCCCGTGAAGTCCGTAGTCTGAAATCAAAGTAAAAGATGAAAACTCCTCCCTTAGGAAAACGAGGCATTTCCTAGCCTGTCCTCCAGCAGAGTAAAGAAAAATCCTCACCGAGGCCACACGGTGGGAGTGACCTGGCCCCTGGCCCTCTCTTCGCTTGTCTCCTTCCTCCCTCTCCCGTGCCCAGGCTACACTAGCAAACTGGTTTCCCTGGTCTTAGAATCTGCCAAGGACATGTGTACCTCAGGACCTTTGCATGTGCTGTTCCCTCAGGCTGGAACTCTTTTCCCCAATCTACCCCAATCTACCCCCTTGCTGTGGTCCTCTCCCCAGCCATGATTCTGCTCAGATGTCGCTTTAGAATAGAGCCCCTTTGCTTTGCTCTATATAACAGACCCCCTCCTTACCAGACTGGTCTCCCTTACACTCCTTTATTTCTCTTCATAGCACGTATGCCCTAACATACCTCTTTGTGTTCCTATTATTTTGCCTCCCAGCTGAAATGCCAGTTCCATAAAAAGAAGGATTTGTGTCCAGTTTGATCACTGCTATAGATCCAGTGTCTGGCACTGTTAGCTGGGGACTCTGCTGTAAGCTCAGGCCTTGGCACCCACGCCTGGAGGCCTATCCCTGTATACATGGTGCTGGTCACTGAGGACAAGGTCAGGGGACTGGACAGGGCCAGGGGTTGGGAGGGATAGAGAGAGGTAGAGACCCAGAGGCTCGGAGAGGAGGTGCAGGGCTTGATGGGGTGGCTCCCTGGAGCCTTCGTCTGAGCAGCAAGACCCAGCCCCCTGCCCACTAGGCAGCTCCCACCAGCTGACTGTCCTAGCCAGGCCTCTGGCTCACGGGGTTCCTTGCCAGGGCTCCTGTGACTCTGTCACTCCCACCAGTGAAGCCGTCCCTGTTAAGGTGGGAGTATGAGGGGTGAAGTCCTGAGATTCATCCCTGCTTTTCTCCGTGCAGCCATGCTGGTGCCCCTGTTGGCAGCGGTCGGCATAGGGATGGGCCTGTTGGCCTGGAGACCCAGCTGCCTGTGGAACTGGGGAAACCCCGTGTGAGCCACAAAACCAGCACCCCTTCCCCACTGCTGACCCTGGACAACATGTGTGCTCACCCACTGCACTGGCTCTCGTGATTTACTGTATGCACCTGTGTGTGGGGAACTGGGAATGCTTCAAATATTGGAAGCCAACAGCTGTTTTTTGTGTGTGCACTTGTGTGCATCAGTGTGCAAAGGCATGTACATGGTCTGTGCAAATACATGCACATGGCTTGTGTGTAGCTGTTGATTTGAATGTTTCTGCACTTCAACATAAATGTGCAGGGTGCCTGCATGTGCTTGTACATCTATGCATGTCTGTGACAGGTCTCTGCACACACATGCAGTCTGTGTTGGTATGTATATAGGTGTGCGATGGACGTAGGCGTGCTTTTGCATTTCCCTACATGCAAGATGGCATGTGGGGAGGATATGTCAGGATGTTATTTGTAGGTACCATGTGCACAACAGTTAACAAGGCTGAGCCTGCTAGGTGAGTCCCTCTTTATACTTTTCTAGAAATGAGTGCCACCTCTAGGCCTCTCTGCTCCTGGGGTGGGGGTCAGGATTGTCTTCTACAAGGGGTTCAAAGCCTGGCCCCAAGGCTGGTCAGTACTGACCCTGAAGCTGATTCTGGGCAAGGGATCAGCCTCTGTTGCCCCCACTTCATTTGGCACAGCCAAGACTCAAACTCCTCAGACCCGAGCACTTCTGAAACTTGCCACCAGAGCAGCTGTGCCGGACCACTCTCAGGGCTGCCATAGGGCCACTGAAATAAAATGTACTCAGGTCCCAGACACACTGGCCACATTTCAATAGCTCATCAGCCACATGTGGCTGGTGTGCTGAACACACTTAAAGCTACTGCACAGGTCACAGGAAACCAGCAGGCCCTGTAGATGCTCCATGTGACCCAGGTGCAGGTCTAGGCCAGTACTTATGCTCCTGTATTCAACTCCTCCACCCAGGAGGGTAGGCTCTGCCCTCCCCACCACAGGCCAGGCACCAGGCTTGCTTGTGGGAGGTCTCTTCCTGGCACAGCCTTGTCCCACATGTGTGGCACCATTGGGCAAATGTGTGAACACCCAGACTAGGACAATGGGGAGAGGGTGGGGTGCTGGTGTGCAGTCATTGACTAGGTACCCATTATAAGGGGTAGAATTGGAGGATCAGAGGTGGGTGTGGGGAGTTGTGGCTGGAAGAAACTCCCAGCTACTAGGACCTCCCCCGCAACCTTCCCTTGGGGAAAGCAGGGTGCTGGGACCCCTGGACTGAGAAAAAGGCTGAGGCCACCAACACAGCCTCACGTGGATCTACCCACTTCCCAGCATTGCGGTCAGGGAAATATGTCCTGGGCTCTGAAGGCAGCCTCATCAGGAGCACCCAACCCTGGGGAGCCCCAGACACCCCACCACGGCACCCACCATCACCCCTGGAGGCAGTGATCACAGGCTGTAGAAGTGAAAGGCTGCCATGCCCCAAAATGCCCTCTGCACTTCTTGTTCCTGGGAAGGAACTCAGCTTATTTAGAGATCCAGGGAAGACCCCAGTGAGTTCTCTCAGGTTTCCCTGCCCCTCTGCTGGGGGTGGCCCCCAGGGCCTGAGAGCACAGCCCTATCCTCAGCAAGAAGGCAGCCGAGAGACGGGCCCAAGGCCTCTGTGTCTCCTGCACCATGTCCAGACCCCTATCCGTGCCCTTTGAGGGTTCTGGATTCAGCTTCTCATGGGGGCCACACCAAACACCACAGTTCACAGGTGATGATACTCCCTAAACCCCCACCTCCAGGGGGATACTTGGCCCCAACACCCTCAACCCAGACATTGGCTAGAGCGCATACATGCAGCTAGAGACACTGGATAAGACTGGCCTGGCAGTCCCTTCCCAAGGTGAGCAACCAGCAAGTCTGCTTTAAAAGGGAAAGGAATTACAAAATAAAGCCTTAGAGAAAAAACAAGACGAGAGAGGAGTGTCCTTAAAACCAAAGTGCTGTATATGCTTAAAGTATTAAGTAAAAACAATGCATTAAATAAAACAGAACGTAACAAAAATGGTACAAACTTCTTGTGGTGGGCCATGAGGTCTCTCCACTGGGCCTGTAGTGCTTTGGGGGCCTGTGGGCATAGGGGTGGGTGCCCATCCACTATGCCATTTGGGCTGAAATGTAAGAGGTGGGCTGGGGTCTCTAAAGAGCCACTGTGCGCCCAGCCAGCTCACTCCCATCCTCCAATTCTGGCCAGTGACACTCATGGGGTGGCTAGGGGCAAGGACACCTTCTCCTGGTCTCCTAAAAAACTGTGGGGGTGGCCTGCCCACAGGAGGCTCAAGAGCAGGTGGGCAGTTTCTCATTCCATCCTGGGGCCTCTCGGGGGGCTTTGCACCTCCCCCTTGAGGTCCCAGCTTCCGGCCCTGGAAGCTAGGGGCTCCTAGCCAGGGCCCAGGGGCAGCTTCTATTCCTCCAGCATGTAGGCTGGGAGGCTGCGGCTGCTCATGGCCTCTTTGATGTACAGATCCAGGAGGACCTGGGCGGGCTCCTTGTCCACCCTCTCCTTGGACATGCCTTGGCTCCGGAGCCAGTCCAGGTGGTCCTTGAGCTGGACTCTGGCCTGGATCTCCATCACCACCTCCAGCACTGTCATGCCCTTGACCAGCAGGCTGCCCAGAGAGAGCCGGTGCTCAGAGGACCTGGCCAGGGCCAGCAGGCGCTGCTGCAGGCCCTTTGTGAAGGGCACATCATCGGGCGCAGGCTATGGCGCCTGATCAGATGCAGGCTTGCGGTAGATCCAGTCCAGCATGCCCAACTGGCGGGCAAGCTGGATGCCTTGCTCCACAGTGAGCCACGGCCCGAAGGGCAGCTCGGTGACCTCAAAGTGCACAAAGGATTTCCAGCGCTGGCGCCAGGCCTGCAGCAGCCAGGTGAGCAGTGTCTTGCTGCCACCACGCAGGCCCTTACAGAGGCAATTGAAGATGGTGTCATGGGTCAGGTCGCCCAGCAGTGGGAACTCCTGGGAATTCAGGGGCAGGGCTGAGCCATCCTGGTCATATACCCGCAGGATCCAGGTGATCATGGGCTCCTCAGGTATCTGTTTGAAGCGCTGAGAGATGGCCAGGAGCTCGGTGTATGTGTGGTAGTGTTCTTCCGGCCCCATCTGGGTGGGCACCAGTGCAGTCTCGGCCATGGTCACGGGTTCCCTGAGGGGAAGAACAGGAAGCCCAGGGGGTGCTGCTATAGGAACTGCAGTCAGGGACACAGAGGCACTGGGGGCAGGGGAACAGTTACAGCCTCAACACCTCCCTGGACCTGGGGACCCTCAGACTCCAGGGTGTCAAAGGTCCCTGGGGGCACAGTGTCCTCACAGGAGGTCAGAGCCCAGTGCTGAACATTAGGGGGTCCCCAAACACTGTCTCATATAGGATGGATCCCTGCAACACCCCCACCCCCTCCTTTATAAAGCTCCCTCACTCCCCCCACATGCTCCACAGTATTACTATGAAGATTCAATGAATCGAGTGCTAAGAACTATACCCGGCTTAGCCTTTTCTTGACATTAGCCTAATTCACACAGTGTATTCTATAAGCACAAACAAGGAAGCCTCTTTTGTTCTTACTGAGTGATGCCTTTGCCTTTCAAATCCTAGAGGAATCACCTGCAAGAAAGAGTGGGGGAGGTGAGGTCAGTGGGGTACAAGGCAACCATGGTCCCCCATCCACACTTCCTCAGAGCCAGGGCCCCTCAGACCCCCAGGTGTCAAAGGTCCTGGGGGGCACTGTGTCCTCAGGGGTGATCAGAGCCCAGTGCTGAACATCATGGGAGCCCCAGTCCCTCTGCAACCAAGCCTCAAGGCCACTCACTTTCAGGGGCAGAGACCATGCTAAGAGCATTTAGACACTGGGAAACATTAAGGGAGACAATGGCATTGTCATTAAATAGAAAATGTTACTTCAGGAACACAAGCACTAACTATTGCAGATGAAATAAGAAAGTTACTTTCAAAACACTGAGCACAAATAACGCAAACATGGTGACATGTTACAAATGTCAAGCTTATGTGTATTTCTCCTATGTCTGAAGACTTGCAATAATAAAAAGTAAAAAGGGGCATGAAAGAGAAACGCAAGGGACAATGGCGAAAAGAGGGCAGGCCAGCGATGAAAGGATGAGAAAAACCTTCTCACCTGGGACATGATAATGCTTTGGTGGGGAGATAGACCTTACGGGCCCATTAGCCCTGAACAAACGCTTAACGAGCTATTCGCAGTGCCTGGGTCGATATGACTCCTGAAGGTGAACGAAGGCCTGGTTTGCTTTCTCCTAAGACCATTCCTCCGCGTCTCAAAAACCAGGAACGCGCTTAGAGGCCCCACTCCCACTATTTCCTTCGTGATCCTACTTCCCTCAGTCCTTGCTGGAGGTGGCAAAAAATGCCAGCCGCCTGGGTTTGAAAAAACAGGGGAGACGTGGAAATCTCAGAGAAATTCGACGTCACATTCGTTTCCCGCCCCCCAAGAAAGGTGGACAAGATGGCGGAGGCCTGCGACGGGGGCGCAGAGATTGGCGCAGCCGACCTGTGGCGCAGACAAAGACGGGGTAGACCGGCGGCCCCGCTCGCTCCGGCAGCAAGAGTCCTCCCCATTGCGAGCGCCCCAAAGAGCCGCCACCCGCTCCAGACGCCATCGCCCGCCCCGCGGCGAATCCCCATCGTCGCCTACTGAACGGGACCAGGGCCATGACAAACGGCGCGACCCCATCCACGCGACAACGGGGCCACCCCGCCGCCTCATTACACGCGCGGCCCGGACCACGAAGCCCGGCGGCGCAGGCGGAAAGAAGGCAAAACCAAAGAAAAAGAACTCACGCCTTTCTTAGTTCCTCCAAAATGGACGACGTTGGTTGCCTCGTGTCCCACTTTATAGAGCGCGCCACTCGCAAGGCCCCCCAACTGCCAGCCTGGGCTCCGCCCAGAGGCGTTTACTCTTCGCGCCGGTGCGGAGAACTCCGTTTTGGTGCTTGGGGAAGGGACAATGTCTGTTTACCCTAAATTTTCCTGAACGGGACATAAGACGTTGTCCCTGTAGGCGGAGAATGAAAACCAACGACGTATCGCGGCCTGCTTCCTGTCCTGAGCGTCAGGCAATTCTGTGGGCGGCCCCAATGAAGGACAGTGAAGGGGAAGGACCCCGGGCGGGGGCGGGGCCAGGAAGGGGAAAAGGGCGTTGCCCTGGCTACCGCGGAGGCTGAAGGGGCGGGGCCGACTGGGAAGGAGCCGAAGCAGCAGAGTGGGGGCGGGGCCAGAGCTGAGAGTGACAGGGGGCGGTTCTGGGAAAGCGCCCGCGTGGCGAAGAGTTGGAGGCTGATCCTGGCGGTGGGTCTCGGGTTCGGGGTGGGGAGGGTCCCGGGGACCCAGACTCGTCGGTCCGAGCGGGGAGGCGCCGGGGACAGGACTCAGGGGGCTGAGGCTAAGCCGGGTTTGGGGCTCACTCCCCGGTGTTTAGGTCGTGGAAGACCCGGGGTTTTGGATGCGTGCTAGGATTGGGAGTTTACAAAGGCGCGTCTTTCAACAGACGGGATTGTAGACATTTTTTACAAAGATTAAAAAAATGAAACGTCTCTATACCAAACCCACCCAGCGGAGGTCGCCACTGTCAACAATTTGGTGTGGACTGTTTATGGACACGGACACACACACTCCCACACACACACTCACGCGCACACGCACGCACAGGTGTTCATTCCCTGGTGTGACTAGAACACATTTGTTTAGCTGGCTCCCCTCGTCATTTGGGTTTTTTCTTCCTTCTAGTTGGGAGATTCCTCCCGTGAAGTCCGTAGTCTGAAATCAAAGTAAAAGATGAAAACTCCTCCCTTAGGAAAACGAGGCATTTCCTAGCCTGTCCTCCAGCAGAGTAAAGAAAAATCCTCACCGAGGCCACACGGTGGGAGTGACCTGGCCCCTGGCCCTCTCTTCGCTTGTCTCCTTCCTCCCTCTCCCGTGCCCAGGCTACACTAGCAAACTGGTTTCCCTGGTCTTAGAATCTGCCAAGGACATGTGTACCTCAGGACCTTTGCATGTGCTGTTCCCTCAGGCTGGAACTCTTTTCCCCAATCTACCCCCTTGCTGTGGCCCTCTTTCCAGCCATGGTTCTGCTCAGATGTTGCTTTAGAATAGAGCCCCATTGCTTTGCTCTATATAACAAACCCCCTCCTTACCAGACTGGTCTCCCTTACGTTCCTTTATTTCTCTTCATAGCACGTATGCCCTAACATACCTCTTTGTGTTCCTATTATTTTGCCTCCCAGCTGAAATGCCAGTTCCATAAAAAGAAGGATTTGTGTCCAGTTTGATTGCTGCTATAGATCCAGTGTCTGGCACTTAGTTACAGCTCAGTCTGTGTTTAAAATGACCAAATCTGAGTCCTGGCCTGGCGGCTCAGTTGGTTAGAGCATCCTCCTCATACTCCAAGGCTGCAGGTTTGATATCCAGTGAGGGCACAGACAAGAAGCAACCAATGAATGCATAAATAAGTGGAACCACAAATTGATGTCCTCTCTCTCTCCCTTCCTCTCTCTAAAATCAATAAAAGAATTATTAGAAAAATGAAAAAATTTGAAAGGGTTTTTGTGGGAGACAAGAGGAAGGACTATTGTAGCAAAGCTTACAGAGCCCATACTATGGACCAGGTGTGATGTTAAACTCTTCCTACATTGAAGTACTATCATTATCCCCATTTTACAGGTGAGGACACTGAGACCCAGACGGGTTCAACACCTGCCACAATTCACAGAGCTAGTAAGTGGTTGATCTTAGGCTCAAAACCTGGCAGCTTAACCACTCACTGTGTGACAGGGAGACGGATGGGACTTCCAGGTCAGAGTGCTGCAGGGGGACCCAGGCAATGATCTAAATTTGTACTTTACTTTCAGTCCTACCCCTGTTCAGTAAATGCCTCTCCGTTAGCCCCAGACCATTGGCAGAAGTCTGCTACATATGACAGCCTTAAAAATAAATAAAATTAGCCTGGCCAGTGTGGCTCAGTGGTTGAGCATCGACCCATAAACCAAGAGGTCTCCGGTTCCATTATTCCAAGTCAGGGCACATGTCTGGGGTTTCGGGGCTTGATCTCCAGTAGGGGGTGTGCAGGAGGCAGCCCATCAGTGTTTCTATCTCTCTACTCCTCTCCTTTCCTCTCTCTCTCAAAAATATAAATAAATAAATAAACAAATAAATAAATAAAATTTAAAAATTAGGGAAAGAATTGGACCCCATAGAAAAAAAATCTTGAAAAAGAACAACCTTGTGTTGGGGGATTTGAGGAGAAGAAAGGAGGTGGTGGCAGGTAGGGGCAAGATGTGAAGTGTGGGTACAGAATTTGCCTTACAAGGGGCAAATTATTAGGGGGTCTCAAAAGTAAAGGATGAATCCCAAAGGGCTTGGGAGAATCAGCTATCCAATAAACAGTGATCGAGGACTGTCTGTATGCCAGGAAGCACTGGCCCAATTCTTTGCTGACCTTGCATTTCAAGTCTCTTTCTCTCAAGACCCTGCCCTCACCTCTACCCTTGAGTCCCATCCTTCTACCCTGGAGGGCCCAAGGGATGGCCCCAGGGAGGGATGGCAATTCCAAGGAACACTTACAAGGTACTAAGCCAAAATGATATTCTGGTCAAAAATATAAATTTAAAAATGCTGATTAGTAATCTGAGTGGGAGAGATTCAGAGGGAACTGAAAAGGGACAAGAGTTTTGGTGGGTGTGGGGGCCAGAGAGCAGGGTTGTCAGCTACTTGGCGGGGAGCTGTGGGAGCAGGCTGGAGGTAGGGTCATTCCCATGTCCTAAGTCCAGATGCCCTGGTTTGCCAGGATGAACCAAAAATTCATGTAGTTCAGGTAGGAAAAGAAACCTGGGGGAAGAAGAAAGCAGAAGGGGTGAGATGTAGAGTTCACCAGCCCAACCTTGACCTCAGTCCTCTCGCCAAGCCCAATTACACCTCTATCATGTCCCCAAACCCACCCCTAAACTCAATCTCAACCCCATTCCCTACACTGTCCCTAACCCATTTCCAAATCCAGTCCCATCCCCAATTCCATCTCATCCCCTACCCTGTCCCCAAGTCCACCCCTCAACTCAAATCCAACCCCTTCACCTACACTTTCCCTAAGCCCCATCTTCAAACCTAAACATAACCCATCCCTCACCCTGCCCCCTAACCATTCCCTAACCCAAACCCACCCCCAGCTC